TGGGGGACATGCTTCGCCAGCCATACTTCACGGAGTTGTCCTCACCAGGTCTTCAGCTCGTCCACGTCTCTTAATTGGGATCCGATCACAAAACGGTGAGTTTAGCTTCTTCTCAACGCCTCATCCTCAGAATCCATATGGAAAGTCGTCACTTGTAGTAACCGCCGATTTTCATATGAAGTTTTCTGAAGATATGCGGCCAGCCTTTTGTTGCGTTACTTCTGGTTTGAATTATTTTTCTAGTATGCGGATCTCAAAGGACGAGAATGAGGATGAAGTGCCTGTGTTATGTAACCCTATCACGGGACAGTATGCGATCTTACTGATATCTTGTGTTTTTGCTCCTTTTTAAGCTTTGTTTCTCTTGGTTTTTCATCATTTTGCATTCTTGTTTAGGTCCTTAGGTGCATATTTTCATAGCATTTCTTACTTTTAGGTTCTTGGAGTGGAGCATTGAGTTTTAGAAGCAAATGGAGTTAAAAAATGTGAAGAATCAAAGAATCAAGAGGAGGATGAAAGCAATAGACCAGTTGGTCGATTGGGACCAAACCAGACCCGCGGACGAGAAGGAATCGAGGAAGCAGTCGACCAATTGGTCGATTGCTAGGTCGATTGACTGGTCGATTGCCTGGTCGATTGGGTACTTAAACCAGGTCAAAACCCGGTTTGTTCCGGGTTGACCCGGTTCGTTTTCTTTTCCTATAAATGTGTCTAAACCTAATTTCTAGATTTCTCATGCTACCTAAGCATAGTTTTCTTCATTTCTCTTTGTAATCAACTTTAAACCTCTGTGATTCTTGCTTTTATATAAGTATTTCTTTAGATTCAACTTCTATCTATCTCTTATACTCTTCTTCTAACATGAATTTTCAAGGATTAGTATCAACTCCTTGGATTTTCATGGCTTTAAGTGAGTAGTCTTTTTAGAGCTTTTGAGTCAAGTAGATTAGGGTGGTTAGGTGATGATTTGTGATGCTTAGGACTTAGTCTTAATATATCCTTACTCTCTAGGTGCTCTTAGTGCTAGATTAGTCTTGATTAAGCTAGTCTAGATCATAGGAAGTTTCATGCCCGGAAGGTGTTCGATGAAATTCCCGAAAGAACTTAGTGAGTGCTTAGCATTCCTAGCCAATGGAAATTGATGATTATGGTGCTAGGTGGTTAGTAAGACTTGAAATTAATGCATATTAGTCTTGTGATTGCCAATAGAAATTGATATTAATTGCTTGATTAATGTAGAGTTATTGCCATGAAGGTGGATTAGCTTAAATTAGTGATCTTAGACCTAAGCATTAGCAAATAATTGATTGTATTAGCATCATAGATTATCCTTTGACCACCCAAGTCAATAACCTTAACCCAAAGGCTTATTCATTTAGCATTTTCGTCTTTGACTTTTTGTTGACTTTCGTTGACTTTTTGTTGACTTTTATAAATTGCATCTTTCTCATTTATTTTGCTATTGCTTTATGTTTATGGGTTATTGCTTAGCTTAGACACTTGTTTAGCTTTGTCAATTTCTTTTGGTTTGTTTATTTCATTTGCATTTTAGTTCCTTTTGTTTTTATTTCACTTAGGTTGTTAGTTTATAACCAATCCTATATTTGCTTAGATTAAGAAATTTTGTGTATTCTTAGTGTCTTAGATCTCTAGTTCTCTGTGGATTCGACCCTTAAGTGCTATAAACGATAACCATTAGATTGTGGTTTGTGGACTTGAGGAAATATTAATTGATAGAAAACCTCTTAATCAATTTGGCGCCGTTGCCGGGGAACTAAGTAGATTTATCATTAGGATTTCAAATTTTCTTGAGACTAAGCTTGTTTCATTTTAGTTTGTTTGGTTACTAACTTTCTTTCAAGTGTTTGTTCTTTTTCAAGATACACTCACAAGGGAGAAAGAAGATGTCTTCCTACATGAATTCTATGTTGAAGCTCATATTGGAAAACCAAGAACGAGGGATAGTTTGGAACCCCACAAGCTATCAAGGAGCTTATGAAACATCCACCTCAAGAGAGTATCAACCGGATGGAAACAATGCTCAAGGGAACCAATGGGGATATGGTAGATATCAATCTTCGGAGATGGACTATGACTATGGAGCACTCTATTCTTCCCCAATCTCTAATGAAGAAGAGAATTACAACTTGTTGAAGTTGATTTTGGAAGAGCAAGAGAAGTATAGTGAGAGTCTTCGCATGATTGACACCGAGATAGGTGCTTGGACTCAAGGTTCAAGGGTTTTTGAGACAACACATGTGGAGCCTATCAACACCAACCTTACACGATGGATCGAGGAACAAGAAGAAGAATGCATTCCATTAACACTCTGTTGCTATCAAGCATATAGATCAAGAGTTGTAATTCCATTATGGTTACAGTCTCTTATAGATGCCGATATGCCAAACATTTCTTCTTGATATCAGTTAGTAATAAATGACTAAGTCAAAATAAGAAGATATTACGAGATTCTAGATCTCGAGTCGTACGTGAATATGATTTTATTGTTGACAAGAATTTTCATATCATCTTGAAATTATATTTTTTAATTCTTACCAACACAGGAAAGATGAAAGTCTCTAGTTTATCATTGCGTGATTATTATATTGGCGGCTATTTATATTCAGTAAAAATTGATTAGTCTTTACAAAATCTTTTAAAACTAATTGGACATATTGATATTGCTTTTTGTTACAACTTTCAAGGAAATCAGAGCATGGAAATTAAAACTGAAACATCAAACATTGTAGCAGTAGGTCACTTCAACTAACGTTCTTAGAGCTTGCCAGTGACAAAATAGCTTATCCATAAGACCATCACGTATCTACGAGCATATACATAAGATATATATGAGTGATGCCAAATATAAAAACCAGATCAATAAGTATCAACTAGACAAAAACAAAAATTAAAAAGACAGTTTGAATAAATACATGGGTTGTTGAATGGTAGATGTTTGATCGATTTAAGAACCTTGTCCACAAAAAAATATTCAGAAAACAATCTCCAACTTTGTTTTTATCAAAATAATTACAGACGTTAGTCTATGTTAAGTGTGCTCTGAAACTGTTAAAACTACATGTTCGTTTTAAAACAAAATAAACGGATCCATTTCTTAAAATCCCAAATCAATTTCAGCTTCCTTAGGCGAGCTCGAGCAATCTTTGGTTTTACCCATAATCATGATTTCGATGAAGAACAAAAATTCACAATCATGGTTTCGATGAAGAACAAACTGATCATGATTTAACACTGTTGGTATCAAACATATAAATTGAAGTTGGATCTTTAACACTATGATGATCACTTATTTACCCACAAATACAAAAAAAACTGTGAGTACCGCTGTGAGTCGTGGTCTGGTGGTAAAAGGCTCACAGCTGTGAGTACCGCCACCAGGATTCGATTCCTGGCCACAGCGGATTTAACCTGGCTTCCGTTTGGCTTCCAGGACCACACTAGATCCGTTTGGACGCGGTGCTAGTTGGGGTCCAACACCTGGGTTACCAAAAAAAAAAAAAAAAAAAATACAAAACATATTAAACCAAACCTTGATCGGTTTTTATTATGCCTTTAAACCGAAATCAAACTGATTAAACCAAGGCTTGTTTTGGTTCGGAAGAAATGCCCTAGTCCCCGAGCTCTATATAATGGAAATGAAGTCTCTCCGCACGATCAGCAATACAACAATATAACGAAATGAATAGAGAAAAAAATTTAGATTCCATTCCAATTGATCTCTTTCTTGAGATCTTCTCGAGATTGCCTACATATTCAGTCGGGAGATCCCGTTGCGTTTCGAAGCAATGGGCGTCAATACTTGGCCGTCAAAATTTCACCGAATTGTTCTTGACCAAGTCCTCGACTCGTCCACGTCTCTTATTCGCCCTCCAACCATACCACGGTGGTGAGTGGCTCCTCTACTCGTTGCTTCAGCCGCAGAATCCATATGAGAAGTCTATTGAAGTAACCGCAGATTTTCATACCATGTTTCCTAGAAGCCCATATGATTGTATATATTCCTCTGGTTTGTTATGTTTTCCTGCTGTGTGGATTTCAAAAAATAAGGGTGATGATGCAGCACCTGTGATATGTAACCCTAGCACGGGACACTATTCGATCTTACCTAAACTGAGAATGGACAAAAAGACAAGAAGCTTTTTAGGGTTTGATCCGATTGAGAAGCAGTTCAAGGTGTTGTTCATGATGGGTATTGTTGGTAGTGAGAGGGTTAATCTTATTATGACATTAGGAACTGGAAAGTTAAGGTGGAGGAATATCCAATGTCCTTTTACCCTTAATCCCTTTCGGTTGTGTGAAGGGATATGTATCAATGGGGTTTTGTATTACTTAGCTAAACATATTGATGAACGAAATCAGAAATGTTATGTGATAGTTTGCTTTGATGTTAGGTATGAGAAATCTAAGTTCCTAGACTCAGTCTGCTTGTTTGATCAATTGATAAACTATAAGGGGAAATTAGGTGGATTTTATTTGAACTATGCTTCTAGTGATGGATTTCCCCTTAAGTTGACTATGTGGATTCTAGAGGATGTCGAGAAACAAGAATGGTCCAAATATGTCTACACTGTGTGGGATGAGAGTAAAACTGTTAAGGTTGACCACAAGCTTTCTGTTGTTGG